TTCCATTTCGATTGTATATCGAGTATGATAACCATCTATCGAATAACAGCACATATAATGTCGTAGTTTGTCGTATGACTTGAATGTGAACAGCCAATTCCAGGCCATCGTACACATTCATAATATTATACATTGCACCACATATCAATTGAATGCGACACATTTTTAATCTCATTTAATATAATAACATGTAACGGTCACCGCACACGTTCACATTTATCAGCTAGTGGAAATATCCCAGAAATGTGCCCACTGTCCGTATGTGAGCAAACTATAACTATACCGCTGTGTATGCGTCTCGATTTGATATGGTCAATTATTTTGTAACGTATTCATACTAGCATACGCAGTATGGTGGATATTTCTTCACAAGTTTCATATGAAACTTACATGCTGGTGCCCATCGAGTGACCGACCAACTGAATCGATCGATGTAATTATAAATCAAAAATCAAACATTAAACGCAAATACGCATAATAAACTTGAAAACATACGTCTATTTAATGCGTTGCACGTTTGTTGTACGATAAAATGACAGTGAATGTTTATTTACTCAGTGAGTGTTCTGAGGATAAAAACAAAGAGGCCGTAGTTTCTTTTTAAATTGATGCTGTCGATGACATGAAGATGATTCATTTATTAGAAAAACAATTGTTAAAGACTCGAAACATTATAACGACAAAACGTTGAATAACATTGGCGTCGTGGTGTTATACGATGAGATAAACAACGAAGCAACATGAAGCGCTTTTGATGCTCTTGTTCAAAATCATTTGAAGTTTCTTCATTAAGGATAATGAAGAGTAATGACATTGAAGCATTTCGTTTCGTTCGTATGGCGTATACTTTTTCTTGCTTAAGCATCAAAGAGGTATGGTTGGAAGTGCGAACAAATCGCACATCACAAGATAAGATGAGACCGCTTATACATACAACACTAATTCTGTCTCGCTCTATCAACGTACCGCATTATATTTTCATTGACAACATGCTTGAGAAGAACTGACGCTTCTCAATTTCGTTTATATAGAAAGAAAAAAAAACAGTGATTGTCATAATGGATCACTTCGTATGATTCAACTCAAGCTAATTCCACTTGGTTTGTTTCTCATTATTGTGTGACCGTGTAGCGTATGCTGAATTAGTTGAAACGTGAGGGAGCATAAATGTTCAGCGGACGGAAGTTGACGACGAACAAAAAAAAAATACCAACCAACGAAAGACAAAGCAAATGTGACAATTTCATTTATTGGTTGCCAACTAGTTGAACATTTCGATATATTGCAAAGCATGAACTTATAACCGAACCGAACCGATCTCATCAAATCGAATGCCAAATTGGCAAGTAGTCACGTTTTCAACAAGTGGAATTTTATCATTTTTTAATAGCGCAATCTTTTTGTTCTTTCTTCTTTTTTGTTGTTTCACAAAATGGTGAAAATATATATGTACTATTGTACAAAATACAATGAAATTGAATTTAACGCCGGATTTTATTCGACTTATGTTCGTCGAAAATGTCAGCTAATGAGCAACAAATTGGCGATATATTTCTTCTGGTTGATGTTGCTGGTGGCCGTATTTGTCGCTGCCAAATCCATAACAACCACTCAAACCACAAAATATCATATTACAATTTAGTCGCGAAACAACGAATATAAAACACATGCACACAATGTTCGCGTTGCGACTTAAATGAATAGCATTTCAATATCAGAAACAAGTAAAATCGTTTTCATAATGGCCACTTTGATGTGCTCTATAATTGCACAAAACGATTGTGGATACAACATGACGACTATTGTAATTTCACACAATTCAATCGCAATTCATCTGGAATAATTGCATGCCAATTTACATTGAAAGGCCAAAAAGTCGGTGGGTGGGTGGTTGTGTGGGTCTGGTCTATCCATAAACGGTATATATGCGGTATGTCTGTTGATGTTATTCTTTCGAAAGTCATTTCGATTGTTTTGCACGCTCACAACGACAAAATCCATGAAATAATATACCCTCGAATGAGATACTATTATGTAACTGTTGAAGTCAGCAACAAAGTAACAGCAAATCTAACTGTTATCGGGCACATTTTCGAAATGTTCGGCCCGAAAATTTGCATTCGATTCAATTTTGTGAAACAATTGACATCAGAAACTATACTAATACACACACGCCAAGGAGTGGAAGAAAGACAATGATGCATTTATGTAAAATACAACAGATAAAAGTGTGAAAATGAAAAGGAAAATGTGAGACATGCTTAAATGAATTGACATTGTTTGTGTTATGCATTCTCCTCGGTTTTTCTATCTCTCTCTCTCTCTCTCTCTCGCACAAACATACACACACTTTCTATCTCTGTATGTATCAAATTTGTTCGTTTTCTACTTGTATCGGTCCTGGCTCAATGCCAAACGAATTAAATCAGCTCAACAAATCACATAATAAAATGTGCGCGACACAAAGAATGAGATAAAGAACTATAGCTGTCTGGGCGAAAAAGTGTTTTCCATATGAAATGATGATATGGAACTCAATGAATGTTATGTGCAGCATAAACAAAAACTCAAAAATAGCATAACAACAATGCCGGAAAGAGAGGAAAAACCATATCATAATAAAATGAAAACTAATGTTATTCACTTAGACAGCAGAATATTGAACACAGACATTTTTCCCTTGTATCTCTCTCTCTCTCTCATTTTCTCTGTTTCAATTTATGAGTAAGTGCTCCTCTTGTTATCGTTTTTTATGTTCAAATTATTAAATTATCCGGGTATTTCACTTCAAATAATATGTGCTCATTTTTCCGCTATTGTGAACTGTAACTCCATTAAAACACATATGGCGGACGATGCCATTATAAGCTGACAACTCAACAACGCCATCATACGAATTATAAAGAACTAAAATATCTTTCAACAATTTAAACATGCTGATCCGGAAATGTTACGTTGTCATACCAGCAAAGTAATTCTTTTTTTTACATTTGCCATGTATAGATTGAGCGCCCTCCATATGTGATTAAAACCAAAATTATGGCATGAACACAGCATATTGACGACATCAGCACGCGCGCAAACGCATCTAATCTTATACAATTTGAAACCATATGTGAGTTCAATAAATAGAACCTGATTGCCTTAAAATTAGCGAAAGCTTTGCCACAACAAGCCAAATTAAATTATTACGTATATTTGGGCATTTTCTTTATTTATTCATTGCATTCAGAGTGAAAGGGAGAGAGAGAGAGAGAGAGAGAGAGAAAAAGGAGAAAAAATGTGGCCAAACCAATGAAAAGAGAAGGAAAGAAAAGCGAGAAAATAAACATTTTGAATAAAAGGCCGAGCCGAGCCAGTCGAAAGCGTTTTAGAACATATGGTGCTATGAAGACGTTAGTTATTCTCTCTCTCTCTCTCTCTCTCTCTGTTTCTTTCTTTCTTTTAAAATATACATAGCAAAAGCAAACGATAAATTGTTCACGTCGGATTATATCGGTATAGCAAGAAAATGATTCTATTTCATAAGTCATAAATCAAAAAGCGAAAACATTTGGTCGAAAGAGTATCTCATTATCTTTTTCATTGCATAGGAAAATGGGTGCTTGTGTGCGCCGCTTATTGATTAGATATGTCGTTTTTTGTGTGTGCTCGTGTGCTTTTTCTATATCTTTTCTCTTCGCATTTCGCTCAATCCAATTAATCATTAATAAAGATTGGGGCACGGTGGGCTCGTCTAACATATTCAATATTTTCATAAACAACGACATACAAAATATCCAATTTAAATAGAAATATTTCTAGAAAATGTAAATGACAACAAAAAAAAATCGTTCGTTCTGTGCGATGTGAGTGTTATTTGTTTTTGATATTTAAAAAAACATAAACAAATTAATTGCAATGGATGAGATGCACAAGAAAGTTGTTTGTGGAAGAGTAAAACATGTAATATTAAATGGTTGTCTATTAAGCGCGCCAAATTAAAAATGTCAGAAACATAGACGCGCATTCGTTTACACGCTGTCATTTTCGTTTGGCACTGTACTTGCTTTCTCTCTAACGGGCCATCCAATAAAATACATACATATAAATTTGGTTGCCGCCGTCACCGTCATGTATGTTCTTGATGTAGATCATTCTCTATCATCTACACTCACACCATACTTCGGTGGATCAAAAAGCATTTGCTCCCATAAATAATCACGTTTACGTGATATATGTGCAGAAGATGACACTGACTGGTTGGTGTCGCGTCCGTTTCACTTTTTTTTCTCTTCACTCACTCGCTCTCTCTGTATATCTCTGATTTGAACATCAATTTAACAACATGTAAATGTTCATGTCATTTGCACAAGGATCGCACGGCACTCGAAACTTAATTGATAGATTGAGCTTTATGAGGGCTTACATCAAAGTGAAATGAAATATATGAATAAATTTTCCCAGTAATTCGAATGTTTAATCATAAATGTGAAATACATTGCAACAAAAGAATGGGTGCAAGCGAGCGAGAGGGATAGCGGTGACAACAAACTTATTCTCATCATATTCCTTCATTCAGCGCGCATGTAATTGAATTGTCTTTGTGAGAGTGATGAATATTTGTTCATCCAGGAAGTACGGCACTTTATTAAAATTTCAAACAATTTACATACATTTTGAAATGCGACATACTATTTTTTTTTTTTTGAAAAAGTATGTTCCTCCGTGTTGTATCTATCTCTGTCTCTGTTTCTATTGGTCGGTTCTCTACTCGATATTATCCTGTCATTCTATGCTAGTTACTTTTCGTATTGTGTTATAAAGTGAATTGTTGAAACACCTGTGTCCTTTCTCTTTGTGTTTCTATTTTATGCTCAATTTTTTTTCGTTCATTCTTAAAATATATGCATATAAATTTCTGTATATCATTATTCTCTAGCATTATTCTTTTCATTTATCTTTCTCTTTTTTGTGTCTTTTTTCTTTTTTTTCTCTCTTTCTCTCTCTATTCATTTTAGCATTTGAAATAAAATCGCATCGCATATTTCTTTTTCTATAATTAGAAAAAAACAGACGAAATAATGGCTAGTGCCATAATAATTGGATGTTTAGCAACCCTTGGTGTTATAATAGTGATTTTATTGTTATTAGCTGGTGGTTATTTATGGTGGCGTCACAAACGCTCACAATTGAAGTTCATTGAGCCGCACGAGGACGAAGAATCAACAAGTGGAAGCCTAAGGTTAGTTTTGCTCATATAAAGTTGAAAGATTATACACACACACCCCGAGATAAACAAATTTTGCGCAGGAAAAAAAAGACAAAAGAAATTTGAACCAAACAGAAAAAAAAACTTGGACCGAAAGAGAGCAAAAACTGTAATCTTTCTGAATTTGCATACTCATTGCATAGCAGTGATATTAAAATATGCTTTAGCAACCAAAACAGATATACAAAAAAAAAATCCAAACAGTTTGTCTCATGCACATTTTGAGGCTATGCGGCGCGTGCAAGAGAGAAATAGATTAAAATCATTTTGATTATAAATGGCAATAGCACATTATGCATGTGCATGGACTTTCGCGGTCACAATGATTATTATGCATAAGCGCGCCAATGCAAAAATGTTTTAACCGCCGATAACCAAAAACTATTTGACGATATGATACGTTTTTAGCAGCGCAATAAAATATACACGGACGAGAATATAGGAGGAGAAAAAAAAGCGAGCTACGCCATCGCTTTTTGCCACGAATGCATACGTTTATCTTTGTCTGTGTATTGAATAAAACTGATGAAAAAGTCGGCAAATTGACGTAGTTATGGATAAATATAATGTGTTTTTTAATGTTCGTTTCAAGTGATATTTGAGGGGAAGTCGTTGCTTGAAATAAAAAAAACATGTGACATTTGCGCAGCGAGAATTATATTTTAATTGTTTTTTCGCAATTAATATAATTGTTTTAAGTGGCACACTTTCTCCACTTCATTTCACTATCATTTCGTATTATCTTTCATTCTGTCTCATATGCGCATATGTACAGGGTAGCTCCGATTCTGTGAATCAATTTATCTCTAAATTGAAATACAGAATTTCGAAATATTTAAAGTTCGAAACGTTTAGACAGATCAAATTAAAAGTACATTCGCTTCTCAATTCGAAAAAAAAAATCTTCTAAATCGTATATGTTAACGACGACTAAACGTTGAAGATGCACTTATGCCGGACCATCCTGTATATAAAATATTCATGCATTTCTCCCATATTCATGCACATTATTTTACTTTCAAATCTCACTCTCTCGTGCTCATACGCACAAATGCCGTAGCCAAAATATGTCGTATGATTTATGTTTTTATGCGGCTTTAATCGGCTATTCAATTTGCCACAGAAATGGCATTATTATCCCTTTGGGTGACATCATTCATTTAGTCACCTTTTTGTTTCCGTTTATAGTAAATCTATGATAAAACTCTTTTTCGATCTGTTTTTCGTCTGGGGTTAAATTGAATTGAACCGTAAAACAGACATCGCAAATAAAAACTGCATAATCCACTTTGGTGCGCCGAACCATATGCGCGTTTTCATCAATGATATTTTGGCGTTAAGTTCCTATTTTTAAGAGATAAAATCGCTATAATTTCAATATGAATTTTCCTGTATTATAAAGCGAGTCTCTCTCTCTCTTTCTCTCTTTCTAACTTTCTCTCAAAGTTCTTTCTGTCTTTTTTGATCACGCGAACAGTCGTATATTGCAGCTTTTAGTTTTTAAGTGCGCAAAAATATTCGCCATAAAATGGTAACCATATATCCATGAATGACTAAAAACAGAACGTAGCGCATTGGTAATTTCCATTGGAGGAGACCTAATTCTTAAGCTAAGAGCAACATTTATTTTATTCGCTTTGGTGAACAACAAGCAAACACAGACAAACACGCGCGCATAACATGCACAAAACCATAAGTTAGTTTTAGTTTCAATACACAATGAATATTTCGCTTATCGCTTTGAATGCATCGTACAAATGCAATATCCTCTACAAACCGTTAAATTTGATTACGAACTCCAATTTAAATTATCATTTGTTATAAAACGGGGGTAAAATGCATTTTGCATCAGCAGATAAATCGAAGAATAGCGCAAGACGTCAACCAGTCTCTCATTCTCCGACAAATGTCTTTTTTATGTGAACTATTTTCTTATGGGTCAGTGGATTCGTATTCATTTCTCAAACAATATGAATGCGTTTTCCTTTCACAATTTCTCCTATCGAATTCGCCACACTATATCCCGCATCCATTGCTCTATTTTGCAGCTTGGAGCTTTTATGGTCTGGGTTGTTGGTTTTTTTTTTCATGTCGCTTACCACAGAGAATCATCGTTTGGTTCAAAACCAATCCAATGGATACCAGTAACATTCCGTTTTGCTGATTTTAATGCAATTGTGTCTTCCATTGTCAATGTCAATTCAGGTTTTATCAATTTTAGATATTACGCAATTTGAGCGCTTTATTTTTCTCTGTTGCTTGCAAAACCAGATTTAACATTGTGAACGCTCTCTTGCTTCGGATAAAAGGTTTTTTTGCACAAATATAAACAATTGCTCAACTTCATTTCTTATGATTTTTATCGACTTCGTTTGACTCGTGATATGCTTTTCTAATATCATACGATTGAGCATAAAAGCTTTTGGTGCATTAAGAAAACTGAGTTTGCCATTTTTTCTTTCTAATTTTTTGAGGATATTTTCCAGTAATCGTCTTCACAAAGTACCGTTGATTTGATAATAGCTTTTGACTTTTTAATGCTACCCAGACCGTTTTCACGTAGTTTCCATCATAAAGCCCAAAGAAATCACTTTTTTGCTTCTGTTGTTGGTTTAACACGGTCTTAAGAAGAAAGAATAAGCCATATTCATCTCGAGAGACAAAAATTCTTCATCTCTCTCTCTCTCTCTGTCTCTCTCTCCTTTTTTCAAAGAATTTTCCATCATTTTTGTTCATTCGCTCGGTTTAAAGTACTATGTAAAAATGATTCAATCGTTGAAGTTTTCACATTTCATACGAAGAAAAGACGACATGGAAGAAGAAGCGACAAAAACAGCAACAATTTTCCGATGCAATTTCACACATACACACAGGTATACCTATTTTCCCGGTATCCTATTTGAAGTGGCTATACATTCCAAAAGGTTGCACAGTGATATCTTCTTCTTTTTTCTCTCGAAATAATCCGGGTCGAAAAAATTAAAATTGACGAAGCAAAAAAAAAAAAAATAGAGAGAGAGAAGAAGAATATCAAATGACTTAAAGCGGCCAGAGAGAAATAAGAGATAAACGACGTCATAGATATTGTGACTAAATATCAGATGGAAAAGGATCACAAAAAGGGATGCCATTGCGATATTATAGATATCGGTTGGCAAAAATATTCCATTTCGGTGGTTCGATGTGCAAAATGCAAAAGGGAATGTGAAATATATCATATCATTTCAAATTGGTTTTTCGAGGCATTTTCATTGCGTTTGTTATTTGATAGTTTTCGACTGTCGTCGTTCGTTAAAATCAACGCGATGGTTCGAAAACCGAATGGTATGTGTGTATGTCTGTGTTTGAAAGCGCTTAGCAGCAGTAGCAGAAAATTAAAATCGCCGTCGAGCAATATCGTCGTTTGTATGCACAATGAATTCAATGATGTCCATGCATATTGAATATACAATGTGTGCTGAAAGTCAAAGAACACACAAAGCGATTGTAATACAAAAAAAGGAAGCGCCGTTCAATGGAATTTTGATTTTATTATTAATGTTATGATAAGTGGTAGCACTCAAAGTGTGTGTGTATATGTCGTTTTTATATCTTTTTATTTTCATTTTCCATTCTTTTTTTTCTGTTCTCTCTTTCTCTCCGTAATATGGAGTCCGTGTCACATGAATATTTACTGATAAAAAATTTATCGCATTTATAAGTTGTTTTATATGAAACAATGGTACTTCTTAACTTGTACAGAAAGTGTACACTTTTATATTGTAGTTTTTAGCTTGAGCTTGCTTATGCTTCTTTTCACCTGTGTTTTTTTATTCGTTTTTGTTTTCGTTTTGATTCAAAACTTTTGAACAATGTGGAAATTAAAAAAAAAAACAATGTGAAAAACATAACAACAAAATTATTAATATCATTTCGAAAATAAAATGGTTTCTTTTTCTTTTGGGCCCGCTAACAGACTACAGCAATTGCAACAAATGCAGCAATTTGAAACGCAACAACAGCCACAGCAAGAGTTTTCACAGCAAAGCAGCAAATCGCCTGTTCAATCGCAATCACAACAACAATTGCAGCAAACCACAAACAATATCAATCGCAAATTGAATGGTTTTCTGAATTTGAAAACACCATTAATTGGGTATGTACTTCATTGACCAATGATTGATTGCCGTCTGTTTTCGCTTAGGATCCGATGCAATATTATGCACGCAAGCCGAAAACAACATTGACATAAAGACACTGAAAAAAGCACATTACACAAAAACAAACTAAAACAAAAAAAAATCCAACGGAATACCCAGAGATAGTTGAAATGTAGACACCGCAAACTGGTCGCTTTCTCTCACTCTCTCTCTCTCTCTCTTTATATCCAACACTTAAAACCACATGATATTCTTCTACTGCGGCAACCAGCACTCATTTGGTATGTGACGGTATTTTTTGAAATGAAGCTTCGATTCACCCTTCAAATGTTTTAAAGTGTGTACAATTGAAGTAGCGCGTTTAGTGCACATGACGACCATTGTCAAAGAATTTTTTAGTCCGTTGCAAAGAAACACAACGTTTGGCGCTTTTTTTCAGAAAAAAAAAAAAGAAACATATAAAACATATTATATACCGTACATATTCCGTATTCTTCTTCGTTTGACGTTCGTTCTTCGGCCGGTTTTATCGTTTAACTGGTATCTTCTTTCAACCTCTGGGTTTCTATTTACATTTACAGTCACATACACACACACACACACACATACACATACTGAAATGACATGTCCTTTCGTACGTGTACACGCGGAAGGAAAAACCCTGACAACTTAATTCAATAATCGCGTATCCTGCCATAACATTATTATGTATGTGCCTTAAGTGCTGGCAAACGAGAACGAGAAGATATCGCTTCTTGACGATGGAACATTGAGAAATGTTCACGAGTGGCGCATTTCCATCGTTTGCTTACTTGCTTGCTTGCCTGTACATTTTCGTCATATTTGACATCTTAAAAATTTAATTAAATTTCTCTCAAGCCCTAATCACATCATACAGCACTCAAACCGATGTAATTCAGTTGTCACGTACATTCCTTTCGTGTTTAGTAATTTGCATGCTCGTAGTACAATTTTTTTCCTCCTCTTCCTCTCTCTCTCTTTCTATCTTTTCTCTAAGTAGACATGGGCAAAAGGAAGACGAATAACGAACCAAAACAAATCACCGTAGAACTGTAAACGTCACAAAACACCCGTTATACCATTTGCTATTGTTGTCCGTGCCAGAATTTGTATGGACTATCCATCTTGCGCACACCGTATTGTCGTGGTTTGCGTATTGCTCGTCAATTTGCAGACATAAATTGGACTGTAATGAAGTGTGCACCTCTATAATATGGCCCATCAGCCAAATGATTTAATTAAATGAAACAAAAAATAAACGCGAACACGAGATAGAAAGTTCAATTGAGCACATAAGAACTGGGTGTATAAATGAAATAGCAATAAACGACGAAAATTACAACAACAACAACAGTTTGTGTCATTTGTTTTGAACGAGTTATTCATCTTTACCTTCTGTCCATCAAAAGTAGAACGAACCGACACTCACTCACACACACACACACACACTAACACTAACACAAACACATATTTAAAATTCACAAAACAAACCAAGGTCCATTGAAATCATTAAAATACTGACCGAGCACACCGTTGCCAGAGCAGATATTTATTGAGATGATGCGACCACAAAAATGAAATATATGTGTCACATGGGATGTGTGACAAAAATAAAATTCAAACTTCAACAAAAACCAAAACATAAAGCAAAACCATGTACAGACTGAACCAACAAATCTTTTCGCTGAACACAACGGATTAAAAAAACATACGCAAACACAAAAAAAAACACAGAAAATGGAATGATCTACCAAAAAACACACTTATAAAATTCAAGATAGCATTAATTTTTTTTAGCAAATTCCGCTTTGTGCACATTAAACGATTTGTGAGAGAAAAAGAATTACGATTTGAGTGCATCCGTGCCTGTATTTTTTTTGGCATTTTTACTTGGTGTAGCTTTCATTTTATCCCTTTAAATTTTGGTTAGAAAACATAAAGGGAAAAAATCCATTCGTAATTCAAGTTTGGAATATGTTGTAAAAAAAATCCACATACACACACACGGACACGAATAGAATGAAGAAGAAGCAAAATAAAAAAACGCAAACGCAATCAATGCTGTCCACATTCGTTACAATTGCTATGACATTTCTGAAAAGTGAATATAGCTAAAAACATAACAGACACATAGGAGCCAATTTCTATACACGTGCACCACATGTTACATTTGCAATTCCGAAAATCCAACCTTGAATGTAAGAACATCATAGAAAATCTTGGTCGCGCGCGCTCGTCACAACACGCCCCGCATGTACAAGTATAAAGTGAACCAAACATACCGCGTGTTGTTTGTAGTGAAATTAGTTTTGATTCCTCTGAAAATAGCCATGGCACGCGCGAAAAACAGCTTTTACACTTCTCTTTTTTCGTTGTTTCTTCAAAAAAAAGAGAAAGAAAATTACAAAAACAATTCAATGTTAAACTTGACTATTGTGACGCGATCAAACACAATAGATTCTTCTCTTTTCGTTTTAGTTTTTCTTCCGCTTAATTTTAACCGTACACAAAACTAGCTTGTGCATGGTGAAAGAGTTTGCCCGTTATCCAATACTTGACCCTCTTTTTGTACGAAATGAAAAGAGAATGTTCTTCTATAAGTGATAAAAATTAGCCCCAGTTTACATGACGACGACATTAATTTGAAATCCAAATTATAGCATTTTTTTGTCGTTCTGTGGAGCTTTCACACACTCACTCGATTCGTGTATGTGTCCTTTCGTTAGAGAATATTCCATTCTTTTTGGCGAACAGCAAACGGCTTTCCAAGAAGAGCTGGACTAAAAAGTTCCGATTAACAAAAGACAAAAACCGAGTGGATGTATATTTAGAATATACTTGTCTACAATGAGAGTTTTTTTTTGCTCCATCGAGACTTATGTTGAAAACTAAACTCATTTTTCTCAACATTTCATATATTTATATTCTCGCAAATGAGTGATATGTTGGGTGTTATTTCTAGAATAAGCACGTTCACATACATTTCGTTTTTCCTTTCGAATTCTTTGTCATTCATCTGATGAACAAGAAAAATAAAATTCCCGGACTACATTTTACTTGTTTCAATATGGCATACACATTTATAAATGGATGGGTGGTTTACATTGAATCGGCCGTACTTCTGCAATTAGACATGCCACGCTCGTTGTGTTCATTTGCATTCAAAAAGCTTTTCGCCTCAATTTTTTTCATTTCGTTTGCCCTTTCTTCACATACACAATAAAGTTGCATACACAAGTGTGTGTTGTGTGATACATACGCTGTAATTTTGAAACAAAAAAAACGGTCCGTATATCCAACAAGATATACATGTGTCTATAGTTATGAATATCGAATGAAGTAGTGAAAAAGATTGAAATTCACAAACACATACACAAGTAAACAATATCGGAGCAGAGAAAAAGAAAGAGTTCAAATCGCAAGTGTATAGAACAACTTTCTGGTAAATGCAATATATTAAAAAATCAAGTTAGTGCACGATTCTTTAGTAACCCATATACATATAATATCCAAGTAGCTTGGAAAAAGAAAAATCAAGCCAAACCCAAAATTTTGAAATCGAATGCAATTGCACTGAATCGCAAAAAAAAAACACCTAGCGAAATAGGAAATAAGACCCAACATTTTTTTCAAACGTCCTATAGTTTTTGTAACCACATATTTTTACACCACCTGCTTCACTCCCCCGCCCCCTTTTTTGATAAAATGTGAATGAATTTTTTTTTTGTAACACATAAAATTTATGAAGAAAATGAAATATGTGAAATGAAACCTCAACACACAAATACACTATCACGTCCACAACACAAACACGATGACACTGAATGTTGTTGCAAATTAAATGTGTGAACGGATATCGATTGTCTGTCTGTAGTAATTTTTTGGAACACATTGTTATGTATTTTAGATCAAGTTCGCAAACAAAATCTCCAGTCGGCAGTTCATCGGGCGATAGAAATGGTGATGGAGGCAGGCAGAATAGTGGCGGACCAAACAAAGATAATCAAACCGTAAGTTTTAGAAAAGCCAAAAGAATTACAGAACCAAACCAATCAACCAGGCTGACACGACACACGTTCGTATAACAACTTGAATCGTTGGCTGAACACACTGATGAATTGATGAAACAAAAGCCATGGAAGTTAACCCCATCAATAAATTGAATATTTAATTCAAAAATATGTCTCTAACTTGTTTGTTCGCTGTCTTTCTGACACGGTCCATGCCATCGTTCATTTGTTCTTAAAATACGATGTTTACACGACATGTTATTGTCTATCGCAGTACGCCGTCATATGCAGTCGATTGAAATCAACGCCAATTTTATTTATATCATCGTTTCATATTGTTTTTTTTTTCTTATTTAAATCACATTTCTCCAATTTTATCTGAAATAATTCAATGTCGTTCATTGTGCATTGTATCATTCATATTAATTCACTTGTTTATATTTGTGCCCGTATCCATTCGTAACTATTTCAATCAACCAACGAATGTATTTTATGTTTCCCCATCGACTATGTTGTTGTTATTACTTTATTGTTTGGTATCTTATTTCAGAACCGGAGTGCATCGATGATTGACATGTACATAGACAATTCGGAACCGAGTGAAAACGTTGGTCAAATACATTTTTGTGTTGAATATGACTTCCAGAACAATACGTTGATACTGAAAATTTTACAGGTAAAGTCAATAAAAAGCATCGATCTTCTTTTTTTTTGGTTCAGTATGCTGTTGAAATAAATTCACGTGCATCTGGTCTTTATATGCCATTGATTTTTTTTTCTCTTTCTGGTCGTCCGTTTCTCTGGGGCTAAATTTAGTACGCACACAGGAAAATCGTATCGAAAAATTGTTTTGGGCACGATTGCCATCAATCGTAATCAGAAATATGTCGAACTGTGTGCGAACAACATTCCCCATTTATATTCCGAATAAATCGATTAACTGTGTAGAATAAACTCGATGCGATATTTTCAACAGTTCGTTTGTAGTTTAGTATAGTTTTCAGTTTATTTTGTTTATTGTTTTGATGAAAGAAACGTATAGTGGCAACGCTTGTAATCAAAATGAATCGAGCTCGAATCTTACTCTTACGACATGAAATTAGAAAGACCACGCCACCAGCAATGGCTTGTATGCGTTTGTCTGAAATAGAAAATCACAGACAAATTTATGCTATTCAGTATATAGTTACATAGTTTTTGTTTTGATTCATTTATTCTTCTTCTTTTCTTTCTTCGGTTCTCTTTCATTTTGTTTCATTTGTTACATATTACTGTGTTTGATCGATATGATGTTTACACTATATTTCATTTATTTCAATGTTGTTGTTTTTTCTTTGTCTTCCTACAATGCTTGGTTACAATTCGGTCCAATTACCCTTCGGTTTTGCTCGGGCCAAACTGCAACTAATGACGTTGCCATCACCAATGTCGCCACCACCACCACCTCCGCCGTCTTCGTCGTTAAACATTCAACACATAGGGTAAAGATTTACCAGCAAAGGATTTAAGTGGTACTTCGGATCCATACGTACGGGTAACTCTATTGCCAGACAAAAAGCATCGGCTTGAAACGAAAATCAAGCGACGCACATTGAATCCAAGATGGAACGAAACATTCTATTTCGAAGGATTTCCCATTCAAAAGCTGAATACACGTGTGCTTCATTTACATGTTTTTGACTACGATCGATTTTCAAGAGACGATTCCATTGGAGAAGTATTTCTTCCATTATGTCAAGTAAGTGTCGACGTCGGAGTCGTTGTAGTAATCTTTCATTTACTAAATCCCTTTCTTCCACTCATATATATTTTGTTGGTCTTAATTTTTGAGCTGAAGAGTATTCTTATCATTCAGTATATACATATACATGATTCGTCTATAGCTATTCGTCTGTGTGGCGATCATTTGTCGGAAAATTGTTGACAAGGGTTAATAAAATACATACAAATTAATTCACATTATTCTGATTTTTCGATGAGGAAATTTAAAATGCTGTGCTTTTATTATATTGCGAATGTTCAATGTTGCCACGCACAACACAATGTTTGTGTTAAAATGCAAATATGCGCAACCCCCGCACAAATCATACAAGAAACATGAATTGTGCTCAAGAGCCGAAGAGCTTTAAATCTCTTGAAATTAAAATTAAAGCGCATTAAAAGCACGCTCGCATTATGATTTTGACTCGTGTCATTTTGTGTCGCATTTTCTGTTGAAAATAGGTTTTAAGTGATGACAATGATGATGAAATTTGTGTGTATTTGCCACTCTGTCAACCGGATTAATTTTCTTAATCACGTAAATGTTTTTGGCTGATGTGCCACACGGATTCACAGTTGACAATTTTGAATTTATATTCTTTAAGTTAGTCAAAGTTTTGTTTATTTTTTTTATCGTTCTTAAAACAAAACACAAAATATGAATGACACATAACATTAAAATGAGTGTCACGTATTTTTCATCTTATTTCATTCTTTTTATGTTCGACATTTTTCCATGGTTGTTTTTTTTTGCGAGCTTGATTTATGATTTTTATTTGCCATTTCATCTTCTCTTTATCTCTGTTCTTGCTCTTGATTAACTAGGTTGATTTAACCGGGAAGCAATCTTATTGGAAAGCGTTGAAGCCGCCAGCTAAAGATAAATGCGGTGAATTGTTGACGACACTTTGCTATCATCCATCGAATTCGGTTTTGACATTATCACTAATAAAAGCTAGAAATTTGAAAGCCAAAGATATTAATGGCAAATCTGGTAAGTACAATTTTTGTGTGCAGATTAGATTTTACCGCGCTTTGTGATTAACCGGTTTTTTTTTAATTCGGTGTCATTTATATTCGATGTATCTGCGTATATGTCGCAGCGCAACACAGTCGCTATGCATAATAACATAAAATTTCAATGGTTTTGCAAACCGTATTATTTTACCCCAATTTATTTTCTTCGTCTTTTTGTGTGTGTCTTATAATACATTGTATTTTCTCGTCATTTGCATTTCTCATTTCTGCATAGATCCATATGTTAAAGTTTGGCTTCAATTTGGTGATAAACGCATCGAAAAACGAAAGACGCCAATATTCAAATGCACACTGAATCCAGTATTTAATGAATCATTTAGTTTTAATGTGCCATGGGAAAAGATTCGAGAATGTTCACTAGACGTAATGGTAATGGATTTTGATAACATAGGCAGAAATGAGCTTATCGGACGGATTTTGTTAGCCGGTATGAAATTGAATATGCCATCATATTTTGACCCCCTTTCACATGAATATTATCTTTCATCAATATTATAGTCAACATAATTATTACTTTAATATCTAATTTTTCCTCTCTTTGTTTGTTTTTTATGTTTTGTCCGCACCGTATTCCCATCTTTTTTTTCGGTTACACATTGTTCAGGTAAAAATGGTTCCGGCGCAAATGAAACCAAACACTGGCAAGATATGATATCAAAGCCACGACAAACTATCATTCAATGGCATCGACTAAAACCTGAGTAAATTCACTCAAACGTATTCGCATCAACCTGCAACCAACAACCAGAAAACAAAAAAATAAAATATAAAACAACTACAACAAATAATAATGATAATCGACAAGTGAAAGAAAATGTATACAAAAAAAAAAAAAAAACAAAAACGTAGTGCAAACCATAGTTTGAATGCTGAGAGTAATGAGCAGTACACTCACTTTATTTTTTAAACTGAACAAAAGAAAAACAAACAACAAAAAAAAAAACGAAATAATAAGCAGAAAATCCAAGAAAATTAGATGGTATCTTTTATAAATGACACAAACAATATATGCAAAATGGAGAGCTACTTTGAAAAGCTCATGAGAAAATCAACATCAAGTGCTACATTTTACCGATTATCTCCGAAATGGATTCCCACATGCACATCTATAGCAGAATGAGACGAAACACACACACACGTGCGCCTGAATCAAAGTTCGGTTGAACTACTTTCGTTGTATGGCAGTCGTTAATTGAGTGTTGCTGTTGGTTGTTATTTTGATCATTCCAGCCAACGGCAACCAAAACGTAACCAAAGCGATGGTTCGATTTTCTTTTGATCTCATGAATCACCCATTGATTCATTGAATAAACATGCACATATCCCAAAATACAAATTACGCTTTCGATGTATAGCTACTATTCCCCATAGAAATGACACAGACTAAAATACTGTGAAAATATTAGCTTTTAATGTGCGAATTAAATCGTATCGAAAGTTGTGCTAATACCGAATCTTGAATGTTAATTAGAAAAATTGCTGTCGAAATGAACAAACATATAAGTATGCCAACTGAATTTTAGTGCATTCCATCATCTGAGATAGTAAGGTCATTTCGTTGAACTGTACGCACACATACAGACATTGTTCATATCAACGATTTATTGAAATAGTGAAAGAGCCAGAATTTGCTCCAGAATACAATTAATTCGCTTCGTTGACATTCTCATACATGTTGACTATGTCACCATTTGTTTCTTTTTTATTATACTTGATATATGAAAGCATCGATTGTAAGTATTTGTAACAAAGCAAGTGTCAAGACCAACGAAAATATTAAAATGGCACCCGACGAAGAAAATGCATCCGGTTTTATTTCACAAATATTTGACGCATAACGATCGTTGTGAATGAAATATGTGCAACATTTGTTCGATTCTTTAGCAAATATCCATATCGCGCGAGCAAAAAAAAAGTATAGTAAATCATAAAATGTGGGCCAGTTTGATGCAATGATGATACACATTATGTCATTGAGCATCAATATAAATATGAAACGAAAATGTTGCAATATTCACATGAATTCGAACAAAGAAATTGATATTCAATTCGAAACCATCAAAACCATCATCAATTCATATCCACTAGAAGAATGTTACATTTGCTGTCAGTGAGTCTGAATTTGATTGACTGGGGCTGCATATCACAACACTTTGATAGCCATTGAGGTAAGTCTGTGTTCACAAATTGCTCAATTGAAATGATTACACACAAATACAGGCATTGATGCGAAACCATCTCGATAGTTGGATTATATTTTTTAAAGAACATAAACTATTTTCGATGATATTGTAACGTACATTTAAATTGTCACTTTTGATTTAAACGATTTTCGAAACTTTGCTTTAGTTCAGAACACACAACTAAAAAACTATTTGGAACTCAATTTGTATGAGAAATATCCGAACCTATATATCGAGTCTTCGATAAAATAAAAATAGATACCAACATTAAATTTATGTGCTCCGGATTACACTCAACGCCAATACGTAGAAAGAGCTTTTAACTTCTCCGGTATAATCAAGCGATACAACCGGCAGTAGAGCAGAGATGCTCACTACCATTCGGGTTGAAGTGTATGCCATGTAGCATAAATTGAATTAAATTGAATATGAGAATTGAATGGTAGCCAAACTGATTTATCTCGATCGTGCTCAATTTTCTTTCGTATTTCTCTCATAAATTGTGAAGCTTTTCTTTAAAAAAATAATTATTATTTAAATATGAATTTCGTTTCAGAATGGCGACATTATTTAAACAAAATAATAATAATAAGTGAGCTTTTTGTGGCACTTTTTGCTGATAATGGTTTCGCAGGAAATAATAAAGGTTATTACGTACGCAAATCATTAAATTCATTTAGTATTTTTAATTTTCATTGAAATTCATATTTTCTAAATAATTTTTTCTTTCTTTCTTCCTTTTTTCACCAATTTTATGCAGTCTAAATACAACGGAAGTGATATTCAGTGGCTGCGATTCAGCGGAATCCAAAATACAAGCAAGAGATAGATAGAGAGAAATCAAATGTGGCATCCGATATTTATTTTTACTGGAAATATCAATACACAATGTTCAAACATGTACACTGTGATCGAGCTCTCGTTATTTGTTTAAACCAAAAACAAACAAACAAAAATGCAGAAAACTATACATACCTGAACGGTCTGTAGATGGAATAGCAAATAGTTTTTAAAAAGACAAAATTAAAGGAAAAAAATAAACATTTAAACAATTTAGCGTAATGAAAAGACCAGCAAAACCAAATGAACTTATCAAACCAAATGAAACCATTAAAGAAAAGACGAAACAAAATCAATGTAAGCCAAAAAAAAAAACAAATGAACGCTAGAATGACAATTCTTAGGGCGTAATATGTATCGATAAATTCAAATTTAGAATTTTAACACAACAAAAAAAATCGTTTCTTGCTCATAAGAAAAGTTTACATATTTGGTTATATGAACAGTAATTTCAATGGTGAGATGTTTTAATTACAAAAAAATCTAGTGAATTTATAGGCAATTGATCGTTATTATTAAAAATATTTTATTCATTTTCATCGGGAACATCGAATCTACGACTAAAACCGACACTTACATTTAAGATGAATGTCCGTACGCACTGAACAGACACATTGTACAACACAACAAATAAAAACAACCAAATAAAATGCAAAACATGAATTTGAACATCGGAAAACCGAAAACAAACGTGGAATAACGGACAATTTTCCTCGAATCCGTTGCGGACTCATTTTCTATTTTTTGAACAAAAACAAACAACTACAAAGCTCGATTCGAATTTTAACGACACAAAAGTAATGTGCAAACATGCAATACAATGGACAAATTCATAACGTTTTATTGGTAATTGTTACTGTTTGAAGATTTGTATTGTTTTAATTCAAATGGTTTTATTATTATTATTATTGTTTTTGCACAACAGTTTGTCGACGACGACAATGTCTTATTAATTCGAATAAAGAGAATGCTCGGTTCGAAATATTTTAAAAAAGCATACATTCACATGCATTTTTCACATCATTCGACGTTAAAATCAAATCCATAAACTAAATAATAGACTGTTTTAACATTTGAGATTATACCGTAACTAACCATTCCATTTTGTTAATCAAAACAAATTCCGCTTCCAAACTTTACCAACTGTTTTTATCTTCTATTTTTTTTTAAGTATAACATATATAAGAATTAAACGAAGAACATTTCCGTTATATTCTGTTAGAAATTCCAATTTAATTGCAAATTACGATCAGCTGGATCTCACAATATTCGGTTTCGTTTCATTTCATTACAAAATAATTCAAGGTATGATTTGAAATGTTATAACACGCAAAATATGGATATATTTGTATTTGATGAGGCAAAAAAAGACATTTTTCTAAATGTCGTCCCCAAAAGCGATGGCAGCAATATAATCAACTGTAGAATAACGTTGAAAATGCTCCATCGCCGATTTTTAAAAGCAAACACACACACACAAAGAACAATAAATTTTATCAACGGACTCAAAAGACCATACATACACTGAAATAAACACCACCCATTTCCATTTTTTTAAAAGAAAAAAACAAACAAAAACAAAGTGAATACCGATCAAACAACGTTTATTGTGAATAGAGCGCTTGAATCGTGCATGTATATGTGTTTTTATTTGGTTACGATTTGAGTTTTTCCAAAAATATGAAAAAGTATAATTACCATTGCACAAACAAATAATATGCTGCATACACTAGATTCCAAAATAACAATAACAGAAAAAAATGGAGTGAAATAAAATTATAGCGAGAAAAAGTTGTTCAGTTTTAGTGGTTAATTTTTTTTTAAATATATAATGAAACTGGAAATCGATTGTTCGAAAGTGGAACAGGTCAATGACTGGAATTTATGTTTTGTAGGCATTACGCATAATGTAAATTCTTACCAAAAAAGAGCGTACATGCATAAATTCCAGTTTGAGTCATTTCAAGAGTTCTATTGTGTAAAACCTTGGTTTTAATGTCGACATTTGTTGAAAACAACAAAAATATTTAATAAAAACATAAAAATGAACAAAAAAAATCGTTAGGTATTCATTCAAGCAGTTAACCATTTATAATGGCATAATCAAGATATTGGTTTGATGAGTAAAAGAAAGACAAAAATGGTCATGAAGAAAATGAAAAAAAAAACTTTTGTTTTTTCTCGATTTTTTTCTGAATATATTGAGAATAACTCTATTAAATTGTAGCCTAAGTGACATTTAATAAAATGCAGAGAACAACAAGAGAAAAAAAAATATTGTTTGACAAATTAATCTATATTCAATGTAATTTGATGTGTTTTGTAGTAAGTAATTTAAAAACAACCAACAAATGGTCAAAGTGCAAAACATAGTTTATATGAGCTAACAAAAGACATATATATATTAAATAATATATACATTACATAATTATAATTGTCGTTTTGAATTGTTCACGTTTACTCGTCGATTTGAAATAATGTTGATCAATCTAAAATCGATTTTGAATGCCTCAAACAAACACATACACACTCAACATTAAACAAAACAAAGAAACAAACAAAAAAAAATGAAAAACTTTCCACTTCTATTCCAATTTTTCCCTTAAAAATGCGATAGGAAAATGCGCGATTATGTTTCAATTGTAAATTGTCTCCATTGATTTTGATGCTGTGTGTTATCTGTACGGTTATTATTCATTTTGTTTGCACTCCTCATTTTTATTGCATCATTAAAAATCGAACGCTCGGCGTGAACAATCGAGTTAAACTGCTCGACAGAGACAGCGTGACATGTGTGCCATTGATGCAAATGAAACAAATAAATATATACGCACGCCATAAGAAATATCAACTCGAATAGGAGGTCTATATATATAGTTGAAAAGATGAAATTGAAAAATCATGAACAACAGTGCTTGGCTGATCCATCGTTCAATTATCGACTGATTCTATGTGAACAGATGGCAGTTGAAGTAGTGGCAACAATCAATGTAGCCAAAAAATGAAATGAAAAATAAATAAATAGATAAAACCAAAAAAACAAAAAAAAAATGGAACATATATCTAAATTTATAAATACAGATAATTTAGTTTTTTATCGACACAAAAACACACACTTACACAAATATGTACTTTAATCAAGACAGTTGGCAGTTAATGTTCACACATAAATGATCAATTAGCAGCTATACTGTATGTAAAATGTGAAGCAGATGATGATATAGCTTATTTGGCTGGAGGCAGCCAAAAACGGGAACATATCAAAGGGAACATATTCTTCGCCGACAAAAAAGAGGAAAACTACGATTCGCGACAATGTGACGCTTGTATGTGTGTTTGTATTGCAAATTTCGTTTTGAAAATGCCACAAATATTTATCGTTGACTTTAATAACTACATTTATTGCCAACACATTGTATGTAGAAAACCGCATCTTTCACACATACAACACAAATTCATAAGTCATCGAATCGATATGTACCCTTTTTTGTCTGCAGCAAGTCATTTGATAAGTGTCTAAATTTGAATAAAACAATTTTACCAACAAAAATTTATAAATATAGTTGAACGATTTGAGATGGACGCGGTGGGCAAATAGACAAAAAAGACATGTTTTTTATGACAAAAGCGTATTTAACTTTAATTTAGTGAAATTGTTACGATTGAATTATAAAGACAACACAAAAATTGTATGATGGATGCGCATTGCATGTGTACGTGAGTAGCTTAATAATAAATAAATGGTTTAGCGCACGAAGTATATATATATATCTATATATTTATTAAAAACAAATTATTCTTTGATACTTCAAATTTCAAATGATACAAAGCAAAGCAGCAGAAAAGAAATAATAATGCGGATTGGAACAAAAGCTGTATGAAACTTTCAATCTCGAACATCGATACATCGAATCAAACATAAAAAAAATCACAACATCAACCACCATTTCAACAAATAACCAGTACAGTTAACACAAAATTAAGCAGCTGCGCGTTCAATCGAAATCTGCTAATTAAGAAGAGGTGCGCGACCATGTGTGAATGTGCTCACAAACGCCACATACACTCATTGTAATAAAAACACACACAAAACAGCAATGGATCAATTTGCTGTGCATATTTATCGTTGAAAAGTGCAATGAGAAAAATCAAGAAATTAAAGCTACTTTATATTTGAATTGATTTTGATTGTGATCGTTGAAGCACGCCATTCATTTGTTTGACTGTCAGCAGCAACATATACAACAAATCACACGTGTGCACGCGCTCGTGTGTCACATATAACGGTTTTTTTCCAAAACTTCTTCCTCTGTAATATTCTCATATTCCCCATTCCATCGCCAAAAAAATCTATTCTCTGCTCTATTGATACATACATACAAAAATGATATCGAATTATTGTTAAATGTTTTATTCGTAAACCAAATTCGATGACAACAAAAAAAAATCAAACGAAACTTTTCTTAAACCAGACAAACACATACACACACACAAATTATGGAATCATTACCCACAAAAGATAAATTATAATATGGAAACAAGATACGTACGTTTTGTAAAATACTACAACACGCACACGAGTTGAACAAAATACAACAACAAAAATGTCCTTAACCCCACAAAAAAAATACACAGCTACAAACACGTACAGAGGGACAAAGAGAAAGATCGAATGTGAAGAGACGAGATTGACGCGATTGCACGAAACAAAGCAGATTTTCAAATAAACAAAACAAAAAAAAAACGGTTGCTAACATTTTCAATGAAACTGAAAGGACCGAAAGAATGAGCAAATGGAAATAAAAGAAGAAAAAAAATTGAGAAAATAACAATTTATAAAATTGAAAATATAATGCATATAAATATAGTTCCATATTTCGTTAATAGAATTTAAACAGTTGAAGCAAACTTGAAAGTAAAAAAAAACCATGTTGTTGATTTTTGTTATGTACTTATTAAAAAAAAAAGATGACTATTGAAAATGAAAAAAAAATTATTATATTCAGTGCATACAGCAATATTAGTTTACGCAGTTATTTGAAAAACAAAATTTAAAGACAAAAAACCAAATACAAATAAGCCTCAATACATACAACAAAAATAAAAGTAATCGTCGATTATACCGAGAGATTGAGAACCGGTTATTAGCCACTCTCGGCACGACTTCACATACTTTTCTCAAATATATCAGAAACAACATAATACACACATTATCCTTTTCGTTTGTTTCTCTGTTCGATATACATTAAATCCCTTTTCCTAACAACAATTTTTGTGCCGCCGCCGACAAATGACAAGAACAAAATGAAACAAAAACCAAGAAAAAGCAATTTCCTATTGTTTATCGATATGTAAGCTGCACACAAACAGCGCCATTGCGTACTCAATAATAATATCACCTGTACAACTGAATTATTTTCATTTACTTTTATTTTCTTTTTTAAATGAAGAAAAATGAGCAAAATTGTTAAATAATTCTATTTATTTACATATCTCAATTAAATATAACTATAACATACCAAAAACTTGTTCACCAAACATTTCAAAAAATGAATGAAACATAAAAAAAACTACCATACCACGGTCACAAACATACAAACAGAGAATTCGAACAACAACAAAAACAACAACAAAAAAAATACAAGCAGACATTAAATAAACAATTGTAAATGGTCAAATAAATATGTATATGGTAAATTTATTTTGTGATTTATTATTGTTGTTTCAATGTTTCCTTTTTACATGTAACCCCAAAAAAAACCTTTACTTTGATCAGCGCTCCAGTGAACGTATGTGTGTGTGTGAGACTGAGATGTTATCCGTCATCGCGACTCCCGTGTACTTTCCTTCACATGAATCATGCAATCTGTTCAGCTATTTTTAACTTGATTTTATGGCCGGAACTGTTTTAAGGAAAATAATATTTTATTTACGAAAATTGGGACACATCAATTATGTTGTGAACCGTCCAAAAATAGATTCAATTTGGCTTCGTTCGATAAATTTCCGGTAACATGGGCATTCTTCATTTGTTATGCCAACGAAATGTCTAAATTTATGTAAGTTCCAGTTTGGTTTTTCTTTTTCATTAAAAATTTAAATTTTTTTTAAAGGGAGTGTTCGTTTTTCAGCCTTTAACAATGTCAAAAATAGATTGAAATTAATAGGTTCAGAATCACAACGTATCGATTGAATCATGTATAAATAGCGTTAGTAACTATGATTTTCAATCATTTCCAAAATTTGAGTAAAACCGTGAAGAAAGAAGTTATGTGCGATGAGATTCAAATGATGGTGATAATGCGCCATCTGTATCTGTACATTCTTCTATTGAAAACGGTGAGCTTAAATTAAGCTTTTGCGTGCATCAGTCAAATCCATACACAAGCATACACTGTAAGCTTCAGCCGAAGTTCTTTGATAGTTGAAAATGTGGAAAATCAATTCGGTATTGTGCAATTAAGCAAATGATATGTTTTCAACGTGTTGACGTAACAACCCATTTACAGTCTTAATTCCAATTTTTTTTTCATTCAACCTCTCAACATGGAATTACTTTTAAGGGTCAAGCTGTTTTTTTTTTCGTATCATGATCCCGAGTGCTTTTAATTTACGTTGATGCAAAATTAATTTATTACGCCGACGGTTGTGGAAGAGTTAAAAATGGGCCATTTTTGTGTCAAGCTCTTGAAAGGGACTTCAATTAATTGAAGGTAAAAAATGATACAAATGTACATTTAGTTGCGACGCATAGTCATTTGTTGTTTTTTTCTTTCTTCTTCTGAAATACCATTTATTTACTTCGTATCCTTTTCTGTACATTATTTTTAATTTCATCGCTCGCTGTTGCAATCTGACTACTTCAACGATTCACTTCGCATTTGTCACGGTATGAAATATGTTGATTTATGCGCAAAAAACTGTAAGGAAAAAGAATGATACCATATTTCCTTTATATTTCGGTGCTTACGTGAATGGATTAACGAAAATGTGGAAGAGATTAAAATCGAAGAAATTTCCATTTTTTTTTTGTTTGCTTGAATGACAAAAAGAAAACGCATAAAGAATTTTTTGACTAAAAAGTACAATGATACGGGTCCCCATAATTCATTTTCCGTGAACAAACTCGAACCGATGAAGAGGAAATTCTTCTGTGTTATTTCTGTGTGTGCCAATATGTATTTGCGTCTATTTTTTTCTACTCGCGAAGTCGGTTATTCGGAACAAATTCGAATAATTCAAGCGCTATTAAGTCGAAAATGGGCAAAGAGAGAAGAGATAGAGAGAGGGTATGAAGAAACGAAACAGAGCTTAAGATTGTGTAATAGACGTTGCAGAAGATGAAAAGTAAGACGAAAAAAAAAAATTAGAAATGGGCAAGACATTTCAGAAACACGTTGTAGCTCACGAATTCACATACACTTGAAAATTGTACCCAGAAAAGAGCCGAATATGGCATTTTATTATTGAGAGCATGTTTCTTTATGCCTCAGGTCTCCAGCTTGCTTCATTTCGATGTCGCACATGTCGATAGAAAAAGTAAAAGTAGACACAAACTGACGCAAATCAACAGTTCATACATACATATATTTATATATACAGACACTTATACATAAGCGAAAGCTCGTCCAACTTTCTACTCAAGTTCACTTATAAATGCCTTCTTTTTGTTAACAACAAACTCTGCATCAGATGAAATACACTCAGCTCTCTTTCTCTCTTGCTCTCAAACACACACTTACACACTTTTCCACTCGCATCGCCTTTTTTTCCAAATTCAAGCAACTTTGTATTGTGTGTGCATACATTTGCGCTGATATTGCTTGTGAAGGAGGACTGTGTGCACTCACATAGCTTCTAAAGTTGACGACCCAAGGGAGGAATGGTAATTCCATTTTTTTCGAAATATCTTAAGGAGTAATTTGGTCACCGAAACATTGATAACTAACAAATAGTCTTCACCTTTTAAGACGTAATTCACAATTCCTTTTTCGAGTGGGGGGATTAATCCGACTCCTAGTCAGAAATAATGTGCACTCATATTCCATTCAATTTTTGTCACAGACATTACGGATTCGTCGCGATTTCGTTCGAGTATAAGCGCGCCATTTACCATTTTCATTCAACACTGTGGCTCAACATTCTGGGTCGTATGATGTTGTGTAACGCGTTCGCTCGTTTGTTCGTTCATTACGTTGCATTCAGTTGAAGCGAGGCACTATTGTTTTGGGAGATAAACTCTCTTCAATTGATGTTACAAAATCATTTTGTATTATTTTTGGCCAACCTTTTCGGAATGTTAATAAAAAGAAATGCCGGATTTATATATGGAAAAGCTTTAAAAATCAAATACATTGTCTTTCTTTTCGCCTCTTCAAATGATGTTAGTTTTAAAACTTGAACGGGATATCCCATTTGAACTTCGAAGAGAAAGTCAACCCCTTGACTGGTTTGCTATTCGTTCGGTAAAGTAAAATGACTGAAAATAGCTTGGTTAAATGATGTACATTAGATTACACATGACAATATATGTGCTTGTTTATGATACCGATCTGAACACACGCGCAATTTCCCGAAATCGAATCAATGATGTTCGAGAGAATTCGCTCAACATTTTATATTTTCTGTAATAATTCACTTTTCAAAGTTAATTTCATTCAATTTTCTTATTTAATTCACTTCAAATGTGATCGGTACTATTTTACGATGACAAAAGATGAAATGAATTGTTCAAAAAAAAACTGCCAAAACTTTGAATACTTCCATCGGTTAGCCAAAAATCGTTCTTTGCCGAAAATGTTGGAATTGCTACGATTTGAAAGTTAAACAAACACTTTTCAATTGGATTTTTATGTGTGTTAACAAATGGAGCATTATAATCGGATGTATTAAATTCGTATCGCTTATTTTGATCGTAAAATGCAACTGTGTGAGTATTTCATATGAATGAATTCTTTTGTATTCCTTTGATAATGCGATTTATATGTTTGATGTCTGTCTTTGGATTTCGTGTTTTTCTTTATTTATTCGTTTGAAACGTTGTTTAACCCTCTAATGCATTAATTTTTTTCAACAAGAGAACTATTTTTCTATGATTATTTTGGTTTAAAATTCCTTAAAAAAATAATCGAAATTCAAAAAATTACATAGTTTACTCAAAAAATGCTATTGACAAAATTGGAGAACAATCGAATCCATTGTTTAAACTGCTATAAACGAAGAGAGAGATAATTTTTTTTGTCAAATTTCTGTTTTCGCGTACATCTGTGTTTATAATACCGCTGTACCGCTTTATTTTCACTTGTCAAATGACCGGCAAATGAAAGCCTGAACCCTACTGAATATATTTTAATTCATAAATCGAATCATTTGTTTTTAGTTATATATTTTAGACAATAATTTATACACCCTGCCTATATGCACTAGAGGGTTAACTGTGGAATTTCTCTGTATTGAATCAAAATCAATTCCGGAAATTGTATCGAATATCATCCATTTAATGCTGTGTTCAATGAATAATAAATACGAACATTGTGCTTTATGCTTTGGCTTAAAAGTGAAATTCCATGAAAATGTAGTGTATTCATTATTCAATCCGCATTCGATGTATTTGTTGAAAAATTTTTACTAATAAAACAACACATTCTATCTCATCCCCGCTCAACCTACGCACGTAAAATCATTCGCAACAATTTTCGAATCATTTACGCTTCACTTTTTCACACCTTGAGCACATATTAGATTGTGTGTCACTGTGGCTTATCTCGATTCAACTTATCTATCTCACATCAGCCATCTCTGTGTGTTGTGAATTGTAATTAAGGTGAAATAATTCTTAGGGCTATTCACAGTCAGAGGGATATATACGCGCATTATTGTGTGAAAATGGTCATGAAATCTCTCACGTTGTTGTATGAACAAATGAGCATTTGGTTTGGAAGTTTTTAATCACCGAAAATCAAGCATTTTATCAAATATACATATATACCATGAGCTTTCGGTTATGGTATATGCCCTTTGTCTAAAAACACAAACACCGAAAACTCTTCACACTCACTCATATCCGCGCTCTCAGCATCTTTTCTGCCCACATTTGCTGTTTTGTGTGTCAGACCACAAACAATGGTGAATCATTGAAAATGTGTTCATTGAGCAAATATTGTACGAACGTTTCAACGTGCGGCTGAATTAGACTTGCTTTTCAATTACTTTTATTTTCTCTTCATTTATCTTTCTCTTTCGTTCTGTCTCTCTTTTTCACATCATTCATATTCTTGGTACATAACAAACATACACCATAGACATATGCATAATGCATACGTTGGGCGCATTGCTTTTGTCAGGCAACAATGTTTACCGGATTCAATGAAAGAAAAGAAGTGAAAGGAAAAAAGTAACAACAAAATGAAACTGTCGTTCCAATTTTATGCGTAGATTTTTTTTTTCATTCGTATTTCATTTTCTATCTCTTTTGCTCGATACATGTGGCAATAGCCATCGTTTACTATGAGTGTACCATTTTGCAATGATTTTCTCATTTGAGCAAGCATTGTCATTCCCAGTCACTTATACATGTGATAAACGTAAGCACAGCGCAGAGTCTAAACCAATACGATTTATAGTTTGAAAGCTCATAATATCAAAATAAATGTCTCCCAACATATTCCATATCGAAAATACCGTTTTTTATTTGCATTGTTGTTATGATGAGAACGTCTTTATGTTGATATTTTTTTGGAAAATTACTTGAAAACGGATTATAAAAATCATTGAAGTAAAATGTAGATGAAGCAATCTCGATGACCTGATTTTAGGCTCTGCAAAACGTTGAAGCTTATGAATGAAAATTTAGGAAACTGAATGCGCAGAAAGCGTCTGAAAATGAACCGAAACGGTCATATAATCGAAGAGCGAATTGAGGGGAATCGCAATTTTGCAAAACACACACACACACACACACACACACCCAACAGAGCATTCGCATCCCATGATGTGAGTTATGATGTATCAGCGCAAGTACATCATATATTTCAGCCAGCCAACACAAATTTTCACAATGTATTTCGTAGCACAGGTCCAATTTGTATCAAAACGTATACAAGCTTTGATATATAATCAACCGAACACGTCCGTGAACAAGTGAGACGAAAATCTATGAACTGTACAAGGGAAAAACGGGACACAACATTTAAATCGCATACAAGCACATATTTACATAGATTGTCATACATACAAAGAAAGCAAGGAAAAAGGGCATTTCATTAACAAGACCCATCATCGAGACTCAGAATTACATTCACCCAGAGTGAGAAAGAGCGAATAATGTAGTGAAAGGAAAAACAGAGAAAATGTACACACAACGATTTGCAACAGCTTCATGAATGGAGACGGACCGATTGTTGCTTCACTGTGAATTTTTTCATTTCCATTCAATCCGAATGGAATTCGCATTAACAACGCGTGTGTGCGCTGCTTGGCTTCGTTGTGCTCTTCTCAATTTTCACTTGTTGTCGTCGTATTAAAAAAGGCATCGTTTTACATTTCGAATACAAGAAAGAAAATCAACAATCAAGAAAAAATCGAAAAAACAAATATTCAACTCTTCAATTGCCGCAACACATCCTTAGACATACATTTAATTTCTTTTTAAAGAAAAAAAACATAGATTTCTTCGTTTAAAAAAAAACACAAATCAACAAAATAATTAATAAATCCGTGTGTAAATTTCATTGCAATAAATAAAACACATTTTACTTAGTGCAGTACGTGTATGTTTTATTTTTCTAATGAATATCACAAGTTAAGGGAGCTAGAGAAATAAAAACGGAATTGATTTTAAAACCGCACGGCGGAGTAATTTGAATATTATTGTATACAAAATAAAAATAAAAGATTGCAAATTCATGTGAAAAATGTAAATAAGTCTTTTGACAATAAATCCGTAATGAAAATAAGACAAATAATAATAAAGTAAAGAAATTTTAATGAGTAAAAACAAAATAATAAAAGTGCAGTGAATCAAAGCACTTATAATCTCATTTCAGTGAAAATAATTGAATATATGTTTTAAAAAAACTTCGCAAAATTGCTCGCGCGTAATTTAGCTTTGGTGTTAAATTGAAAGGGTTATTTAGACGGGCGGGCATTGAAAATGTTTAAAACAAACAACATGCAACAAAAACATTATATCCAAATAATTTGAGGGTTCACACATTAAATATTTCGACACAAAATTAGACTCGACAACCTAAAACCATTCCAAAAGATCTGGCGAACAAGAGAAATAACAAAAACGTGCGAGCGATCCAATTACAAAGTTATCTTAACAACCATATCATTTTCAGACGGAAGCGCCAAAAATATCGTACTTTTTTCCGTACAATTTTGAAATAAATATCAACGTCTTTTGAATCTTTTGTTTTCTTTTTTAATTTTAATTTTATTTTACAAAAATTCACATGTGTGGCTTTCAATCTGAACATTTTTTAAATTAACGGAATTATATTTGTTTCGCTGAATCGAACGCACATATTCATTGTGAAAAGGGACAAGATCCAATCAAAGCGTCTCCCCATCAAAAAAAGAGAAGAGAATATTACCGCATTCTTTAAACCGACATTCTTTCAAAAAGCAATAGCAACAGTGACTAAAAGCCAATTGTGTTTTCTTCATTTTATAATTTCAACTTCATTTAACTGGACACGCAGACACACACGCACGCAATTAGCCAACAGTTGAAATGATGGTAAGAGTCTTATTTGTTTCTCTTTACATTTTCCAATTGAACGAAGTATATATTTAGTTGTAGGCGTAGACGCAGACAACAATAAATTTAATGAGAATGAAAGCAGCCATTTCTAATTTTAAATTTTTCATTTTTATGAAAAATAAGTAATTGCTCAAAATAAATTTAAGAAGAAAAAGCCAACACAACACAATGAGAACAATTAAACTGTTTTCTGAAGTTGAATAAATCGAAAGAAACAAAGACGAGAGGATTTAATTGTTCAGACTCTATGAATCGCATGAATTAAGATCTATTCGGTTTTTCGACTCTTATCAACAATATATCCGACAAATAATCACTCAATTGCTCAGTAAATACCGCTGATGTTTGTGTGTATGTGTTTGGTTCTGAATTGTTTCGATTGTTTCAATCCAGTATAAATTTTGGGTATTGTGTGAATCATCATCAAATTGAGATTGATTCATCTTGTGTGGCGGCGGCGGCGATGGTGAAATGGTGTTGATTCATGAGAAATCTGAAACCCATCAACCACCATAATAATTATGTATTTACAAGAAATTTCATTTTTGCTGTGTTCACAAAATCGCTGGGTTTATGCGTACTCGCCAAAAAACAAACAAAACCAGCCATCATAATCATCATCCAAAACCATGGAGCTTGAGCTAAGCCCAACTCAATTCATTCGATAATGAAATTCCCTTTTCTCTGTTGCCAGTGTAATTATTTTTATCGTTATTTGCATACATTCTGATACATACTTGAATCGTCCACACACATATATACATGTATTGGTAAACAATTTTGAGCAAAAGCAACAAGTGCCATTTAAAATAGAAAATTGAACACACACTAAATAATTTTTTTTTTTCACATTTTTTCTTCATCCACAACAGTAGATTCCATTTTATGTTTCAATCGGTAACATTTCGTCCGGAACTAACCATTGTGCGATCGTTTTTTTTATTCTTGTTCTGTTTTGGCTTCGTTGAATAGAAGAAAAAAGCAATAAAAAAAGCACGAACAAAGCTTTGCAATCTTTGCATAATAATCGCCAATTCATCAATATTATTGCTAACATTGCGTGTAATTCCCTTAAATATGAAGCATTTTGTTCATTTTACTTTTTTATGGCTACTCGTTATATTTGATTCGCCATCGTCTTACTGTGTAAATATATTGTTCACGCAAATCGATTTGGCGTAACTGGAAAATTGGCCGACACTTAGTGCTTTTGACACTCTATCATCGTTGGCACTCGGCACAATAATGGTAGAGACAACAGCGGCGGCGGCAGCGGCAGCGCCACAAACAATTCGAGCTTAATTAGTGATTTAAAAAGTGCTTTTCTCGTTAAGTCATCAAACAGAATTTAACGATGTCGATAAATTACCCGACATTTTTTCGTCGTTCTTGTTGTTGTTGTTGTTCACGGCAAATTATGTTAGCACCATGCATTTCTCGGGCGCCATATACAAAAAAAAAACAATCGAATTTGATTCAAACACTTGCGTGCAAACATACTGTTATCGCGCCAATTTAGTGCGGCGAAAATGACTAAATTGGAACCGAATTGTATGTGCGAAAAAAACAAAGCGCGAAAAAAAGCAAACGCTATGAAATTTTGCTCTTTTTCCGCAAGTATTTTTTTGTTTAACGAAGTGAGTTTTAAAAGAAACTCAATCAATTGATGCAAAATGATTTTCATGTCAACGCCTTAAACATGCGAAATTTAAAATGGAATAACATCACTTTTTTTGTTATTATTATTATTATTTCGTTGTTATGTTTTTTCTTACAAAACATTTTTTTATTGCGCATCAAATCTTACGAAGAATACCCATCACTTTTATAGGCGAGAGCGAACAGGTGTCAAATTTACCTTCCTCATAAGAATGTTCACTTCATTTCCTCTGACTACCTGATTTCTTCGTGAAATTTTCTTTTCGTTTTGATTCCAAACAAGTAGTTACAAGATTGTTGCCAGCGGAAATACTGAAGATCTTGAATGAATAATTCCTACTTTATTTCAACATAAAGTTTCTTTGATATGGGGTTTTGTAAACAAAAAATCCATGTGAAAAAAAATTCGCGCTGGAACCGAATAAGCGCTTTTTTTATCACAACGATTCATGACAATGTCCCATGTAAACGAACAAAAATGATCTTCCATTTTTGATCAAAGAAATGACAGGATTCTTATATTACACGATTATTTGAAGACATACTTGTATGGTCCTCGACGAGGACTCCTCGTGAAACAAATTTTGTCCAAGAAGTAACTGCATTTTTTCGTTTCAAATCTTCATGTTCATTTAAAAAAATATATATTGGGTGTATCAATTAATTTTTACCGTTTTTTTGGGTGAAAATGTAAGTTTATTTTGTAGAAATCGTACAATATTTAACCAATGTATTGCCCATCGTTAGCTATGACTTCTAGCTATATTTCTGGTAGCATGTCGATTCCACGTCGGAAGAAGTCTTCTTCTTTTGAAGCTATCCAGTCATCGACTCATTTTCACATTTTTTCAACATTTTGGCCAGGCTGATTTTGATCGATCGGAACAAGTGATAATCAGAAGGAGCAAGGTCTGGAGAGTACGCCGGTTGATCAAGCTGATCCCGACTGGGCTCCTCTATCTTTTTTTTTATCGATGTTTGAAATATATCAAATTTTGAAAAATCATTCGACTATTTTGTGTCGCAGTTTTTTGCCATTTTTCTCTCAGTACTCTGCTTAAACGTATTGGTTGTAGTCGATACGGATCCCCCGTGACAGTTTTACCCAGTTTCGGCAGGTCATAATACACCACACCCCTTTAATCCCGTCATATACTGAGCACTACCGAGAAACCATGAAAATTCGGCTATTCTGTCTATTTTGATTATTGTGCGGGATTGAACCCTGACTTTTACGCCTGGGGTTGCCGCAGCAGATGCCGTCTTCACTTACAGATACAATACAATACAAAAATTCTTTCCTTTCGTATCTTTGGAGCAGTGTGTAAAACGTGAAGAAACGCCTTTTGGCTTCAATTGGCGTGGCACCCAATTTCTTTGTCCTTGTCTCATCATCAATGACTTGTTTAAAACGACTGATTTATCAAAATATAATGCTTCTTGTGGTTTCTGATGTATTTTCATGCATCTTTATCGAATGAACAACGCCAATAGCCCACCATTCAACATTTTTGGTGAGTTCACAGTTTTTCAACAAATTCACCACTTGTTATTCACCAAATTCAACTTTCTCTGTGGCAACTGAGAGGTCTCATCTCCCGCAAGTTTCCATAACTTTTAGTTGTATTTCCAATTTGTTTAAAGTGAAAAAATCGATATAAGCCAAGATTGGCGACGAGATAATGTTATTGTTCGCTACATTTTCATTTGCCACTCATAATTTTAATGAAAAGTGACGCATTGGTTGAATAACAAAATTCCCAATTGGATATAGTGTGTGCTTTTGAGTTGTTTTTATTCAAAATGGATGCTAAGCTGATTAAACACAGAGTCAATTTTCTAATGAATGCAAACATTTGTCCGCCGTTGCTTCACTAAAATTATTAGTGTTGTTTCATTAATGAGCTAAATGGAAATTAAATTTTTCGTCTTCGTTGCACATGCTTAAACGCCTCTCACTTTTCCATACAGCAATTTTAATAAATTAAATGACAATACGACATTCGAGTGAATGAATCCGATTATCGACGGCAAATTAAATTTAATGTGTCTTTTGAGTCTTATTAACCGTTTTTTGAACTCGAATTTAATGTATATTTTGCCATTTCGCCGTTAGGCACCCATTCTCATATATCATAAGCGTCAAGCCATTTTCAAATTCCATCGCATTTATTATGGTCAAGTGGTTCCATGAATAAATCCATCAATGGATTCTCAATTGTTTAACGCTTCGAAGAATCACATTTAAAATTTATTTTTATTCGATTTTTTCTGATCCCCACTCTCTTTCATGCATACAATGTTGCTAGCCAGCTATTTATATCAGCTATTGCTATAGGGATATATAAATAGCTGCTATTTAACGCATCTCTTCGCTCGGACGCTGTGTATGCTGGACATGATAATGGACTCATTGTTTGAAATTTTTAACGTTTTAAATCATTACCCTATAGTAATAGCTGATATAGATAGCTAGCTAGCAACACTGTATGCTTTCATGAATAGAATCGGTGTGCATGGTCTTTTTTTTGTTTCCACATTAAATAACGAATTTCTGAAAACCATTGAACTGCGATGACCTCATCGGTGATTTATTGCAAATTTAAACAAAAATCGATACCAACAAAAAAATAAATAATGAAAATTAGAGAAAAAATGGTGGAGTTTTTCGGATGGCATTGATAAACTTAGGTTTGCTATAATGACACTTTTGTGTTCATTTTTCTTTCATCGAGAGAGCGATTTCTTTTTTTAAATATCCAATCAATCAAATCACACGTATGTATACATTTCAAGTGCATTGATATTTGCCGAAAAGATTTTACGCATTTTGCGTTCGCTTTATTTATTTATCTTTCTTTTGCATATTATATGCTGCAAGATCCAAGTGATTTTGTCACATTAAACAAGTAAAGTAGGTGACGATAGCAGCGCGGCGACAAAGTCGCGCACAACAACAACCAAAATAGAATTCTCTTCATCAGAGAGAAAATCGAAGTGTCTGCCGTCGTCGCTTTTATTGTTGACAATTTATGTGTAGGTGTACAAATAATGGGGCAGAGAAAAATGAATAAACTTGTCAGTCAAGACACTCTGCTGAAGCATTATTCACATAGAAAAGGCGATAGAAAAATATTCGCGGTAAATTTCAGAATGGCGTGGGCTCGAACCAATTGAACAGAATACACACACACAATAGATAAACATGTGAACTTTGCATTTTCAATTCACTTCGATCAGGGGCTGAAACAAGGCACGACGAAGAAAATGCGCATAATAATGGGGAGGATCGAGAGAAAAGAAAAATGAATACTTTA